CATTTGCACCCTAATCATACAAATAATATTACCTTCGTGAGATTAAAAAAAAAGATTTCTAAGGGCTGGTTGTCTTCCCCAACCCCAAAGAGGCTATGGTGTGCCACTCCTACTATTGCCTATCCATCTTCGAAGCCAACCAATCGTCCCTAGTCGTGCAGGTAGTCATCAAGGCCACCATCCTTCCATACTAGCGCTCTGCAGAAAAAATTGTCAAAGTTATCACCATCGAAAAATCAGTAGACAATCAAATGCCTCACGGTGGCACCTGAGACCGCACTAACGTGGCAAAGAGGAGGCATGAGACTAAACTACAAAGGGAACATGTCGTCGTTGCCACTCCGACAGACCACACAAACCCTAACCTCATTGTCGAGAGAGGCCTACAGGACACGTCCAACATCCTCGAGATGGAGAGGTTTGAGAAAAAAATATTCCTCGGACGTCGCCACAACCGACGAAGTGTCGCCGCGTACCCCTAAGCCCAAAACAAGAAAAACTAGACCTCCATCCGATATATCAAGGCCCCTTACATTCCCACACCAGGTGGAACCGGAGGAGGAGAGAAGCTGCAACCTACCAGCAGAGAAGTGGTCTACGGCGCTGTGCATCTAGGCAATCTCCTCTCGGGTTTTTCATCTTGGTCAGACAACTTGTATTCGAAAATAAAATGTTTAAGTGTTGTCTTAATGTTGCTCCTACACATAATAGAATATGTTATGTGATATAATATGTTCATATAATTTTTAAAAATATATGTTTGTGGCAAGAAAATAAAAAAACTCATATGTTTCAAAGTGACAAACATATTCTTCATGTATACTTGAATATATGTAATATATGTTCATGCGTATCAAAAGAAATCTTTATGTATTTTCAAAAACCATTTATTTGTGAAGAAAACAATTTAGAAATGTTCACATAATTACACTGAAAATAAAAATAACAAAAAAGGTAAAACTATTTAGATATTTGTTATGGAACATGCCACATAAATTATTTAGAGAATATCTAGGAACTACATGCGTTTGTCATGAAAGTTCTACGGTATATTATTTGCATCCTGATTCCTGAACAAGATATATGTAGGAAATAATTTGATATAAATACATTTGTAAAGATATCTTATTTCCAAGAAATCTATATCATAACATAGCAGCCATTTAATAGATTATACATAGATAATGTTAAGTTGTGAACCGCTATGTGATCTTTTTTGAAATACTCACGGTGGGTAGGGATTATTGGTTTGTATGTAAATTATCTTTTGTCATAGTATGCATCTTTTTTACTTTTCTAACCGAGAGATACTGAATCTCGTATCTTAAATTGGACTTTGTGTAGTTGGTTTCATGGTTGTCATTTCAATCAAATTAAAATATAAATCAATCTTATAAATAGTGTTGCCACATTCACTCTTCTAATGTACTATAATAAGTTACTCATGAGCCACCATATATTTTCTGTACAGATTGAAGGGTATGTCCTGAATTCACTGATGAACCCAATAATTCATATCAAATTAAAAGAAAAAAATGAGACAATGTCAGAAGGTTATGCAATGCCAAATGAGACATAATTTTTTTATATATAGTAGTGTATCTAGTACTTTAATGTGAAATTTAATATGATGTATGTAAATTAAATAGTAAGATAAATTTGATGTACAAATCTGAGTTTTCTAAAGGCAAAAAAATGTTTTGACCATATTTTTTCCAGATCGTGTCTTCCGGCACGATAACACTGGTGATAAGAGCAACAAATACCTAAACATGCTAGTCACAAAAATTGACGACGTATAATTACGGCTGCCAAATGAAAACAAATTAGTTTCCTTAATATAATATTAAAGCAGAGTTTACAATTGTTATGATGATGGTTGGTATGTCTCAATAAACTATAATCAATGTGTTATGATAAGTATGAACATAACATGATAATTATATATATTTATATATATATATATATATAATATTTCTAATGCATGCTTTGTACAAACTAAAATATAGTTCACACTAGCAGGCGAAGGCGCGGTGACACGCCGCGCCCGTGCTTAAGCATGTTGTTAATTTATTTGGTTGTTCTTTTTCGAAACTAAAATAAAAAGTGGCGGAGTTATAAACAAACACAATTGCTAAACATTAAGATTATTTGTAAAGCCTCCAAAACTGTGTTCACACTGTTCTGCAAAGCATCATCACTGTTTTCACAACCAAAAGATTCGTACATGACTTCCTTAAATTGTAACCATGAATGCATTATTTATGCCAATATATTATTATGATAAAGTATCCATTTTACAAAGTTCCAAAGTATGAATAGAACTATCCCCTGGAACCAAAGCTCAGCTTAATGCTAAAGCCAATTTATCACACAGAAGGGCAATGCAAAAAAAAAAACCTTTGCAAACTTGACAACGGCGTGGCAATAAAGACATGAGACCTAAGCATTAGTTGTTGAGGTAATAAGATGATGCGGAGCAATGACAGGACAATGACACCCCTGATTTATTCTCTTGGAGAAGGAGTCCCAATGGACAGCACTCGGTGCAATCTACTTATAAGATTATGTGCCATGGCATGACTCACTTCCCCGCCGCCCATTTCATATGGAAGTTTTGGGCGCTACTGAAATGCAAAATATTCATCTAGCTTGCTATCCAGTATCGTGTATGGACCCCTGATCGATGATTCTGACATGGATTGCAAGACACCACTTATCAGTGCTTCACTTGCTGCCGGGAGGGGGATACTCTGGACCACATCCTTATGCACCGTGTCTATGCTCGACAGGCATGGCATTCATGTTCGACACTCCTTCCGTTAAGGACAACTTTGAGGTGTGGTAGTTAAGATCGCTCAAAGGGTTGCCGAAGATGACCAGAAAGAGCTTTGATTCGCTAGTCATTCTAATTGCTTGGAGCTTGTGGAAGCAAAGGAATGCGATGCGTTCAGGAATGTGGTACATCAACGCAATATAACCCAACAAATCTCATTCTTGATGAGATACAAACTTGGAAGACGGCTGGAGCTCGGTGTTTTGAAACCTTTATGAGAAAGTAGCATGTTAATGAGGGTGTGTGTGTGTGTAAGCTTGTAGGCTGAGTTGTGGGCTCACAACTTTTCTTGTAAATTGTTCTCTGCCTTCCGGAAAAATATGATACGCAATTTGCGTACTCTCAAAAAAAATATTTTTTTGAGATTTAAAAATATTTTTAATCTGTTCAGGGAAAAGTTTTTCAGTATGAAGTTGGTTGCCCATGGCCCAAAATCGAGTACAACCCATTTCCTCTTTGCTTAAGCAAAAAAAGAGCGGGCCCTCCGATACGTAGACGCGCTGATCTCATTCCTCACCCGGCCTAACCGCCCACTACCACTCCAACACCCATCACTCCGTCCAGAGGGGCTCGCCAATTCCGGCCATGCGGGTGCTCCCACTCGCCCTTGCCATTGCCATCTTCTCCGGCGTCACAACCCTCCTCATCTACATCTCCGGCCTCTCCTCTCCCCTGTCTTTTTTTACTTCGCGTGGAGATCCCTGAGTTGGGGTGCTATACTAGTGGCGGGCGCCCCTGGGAGGCTTGCCCACCACTAATGGCCTTTTTGCGCCCGCTGCTGCTAGACATTCCTGCAGTAGTGGGAGTTGGAGGGCTAGTAGTAAAAATCTTAAAGCTCCAAGGACTTGCGTTGCACGTCAAATGGGAATGACCACGTAGGACGGATCCCAACAGGCTTTAGCAAGGCCTCCCACCATTGAATGGTGATATGGCGAGGGCCATCTTCGACAACCTTGCACATATCCAGATAGGAGATGGCAAATTCCTTCTCTTCTGGAGTGACCGCTGGATCAACGGTGCGGCTATGGCGATATTGCACCCCTGGAACTGGAGAAGGTGAACCCAAGATTTATCAACAAAAGAACAGTCCATGAGGCCGTAACGAGTCTAAAATGGATCATGGGCGTTAGTGATGGTTTGAGGCCACAAGGTCTCCAACCTACGGTCGGCCGCAACATCATATCCCACTGGACAGTACAATGACACCCGTTATTTATTCTCTTGGAGATGGAGTCCCACTGGACAGTACTCGGCGCAATCTACTTACAAGATGACGTGCTATGGCATGAATCGTCTCCCCGTCGCCCTTGCTGGAAGAGTTGGGCGCCACCCAAATGCAAAAATATTCATTTGTCTTGCTATCCAGCACCGTGTATGGACCTCTGATCGACGATTCCGTCATGGATTACAAGACACCACTGATTCGTGTGTCACTTGCTGCTAGAAGGGGATACTCTGGACCACATCCTTATGCATTGTGTCTATGCTTCCGTTGAGGACAACCTTGAGGTGTGGTGGTTAAGATCACGCAAAGGATTGCCGAAGATGACCAGAAAGAGCTTTGATTCGCTAGTCATTCTAATTTCTTGGAGCTTGTGGAAGCAAAGAAATGCGAGGTGTTCAGGAGTGTGGTGCATCAACACAATATCATCCAATTTGTAAATCTCATTCTGGATGAGATACAAACTTGGAAGACGTCTGGAGCTCGGTGTTTTGAAACCTGTATGCGCGAGTAGCATGTTAATGAGGGTGTGTGTGTGGATGTAAGCTCGTAGGCTAAGTTGTTGGCTCACGACTTTTCTTGTAAATTGTTCTCTGCCTTCTGTAAAAATATGGTACGCAATTTGCGTACCCTAAAAAAAACATTTTAAATATTTTTGAGATTTAAAAATATTTTTAATCTGTTTTTGAGGGGTATTTTTAATCTGTTTAGGGAAAAGTTTTTTCAGTATGAAGTTGGTTGCTCATGGCCCAAAATCGAGCTACGGCCCATTTCCTCTCCGCTTATAAGCAAGCAAAAAGAAAAAAAGAAGAAGAAGCGGGCCCTCCGATACGCAGACGCGCCGCTCTCATTCCTCACCCGGCCCAATCGCCGACTCCCACTCCAACCCCCACCACTCCGGCCGCACGCAACTCCGGCCAGAGGGGCTCGCCGATTCCGGCCATGCGGGTGCTCCCGCTGGCCCTCGCCGCCGCCATCTTCTCCGGCGTCACGGCCATCCTCATCTACATCTCCGGCCTCTCCTCATGTAACGTACCCTCCTCCGCCCCTCCTCTCCCCTGCCTTTTTGCTTCGCGTGGAGATCCCTGAGTCGGGGTGGGTTCTGGATGCAGATGGCGGCGCGGGGCTTTCCGAGGCGGACCTGGCGGCGCTCGCCGCGCTGCAGGGAGGGTTCAGCAAGTGCGTGGTACGTCGCTACCTCTGTCGCCGATCTACTGACCCCCTCCTGTACTGTGTCGATTTTCTGTCGCTTTATTAGAACCGATTGGGGCTCAGCTGTATAATCCTGTGCAAATTTGATGCTACATTGTGTTGTACATGGGCCATTAGCTTCTGAAATGCATGAGCCTTGGTGGTTTGGCAGGGTAACTGCTTGGTAATGTCTGGACTTCTTCTGAGAATTGATGTGATGCTTACTGTTTAGTAGATGGGGAGGATTCATAGCATACGAGAAAAATTATTTTATCTAGGATTGGGGTGAATTCGATGTTTGGAAATGATTCATGTTTTATGTTCAAAAGGCAACTCTCAGCAATAATTGTGTTGCTAGCTACTAAAAATCTCTGTATTGAGGTCATTAGGGTGCTGGTTTGGATGAGTCTTACTCGTGTAAATTTCTTGCAGGATGCTAATGGTGTAGGACTGCAAGCGTTTGGCGGAGAGGATTACTGCCGTGTTGTTATACAGTACCCGAGTGACACGGTTTCTAAGTGGGTAAGTGCACATGTGCTCGGTCATTTCATTCCTTATGCTGGCATTTCTCCTTTGAGTTCCTTAATTTGATTCTGTACCTGGCATTGTACTGCATAGACAAGCGTGGACCATGGGCATTTGTTGTTCTTCTCATAGTTAGAACAGCTTGTCTTATTTTTATGATCGTTGTCTTAGCTCTTATGATTGGTTTTTGCAGACAGATCCAAAAACTGGAGAGTCTGAAGGGTTGGCATTTGAGTTCAATCTCTGTGAAGCTGTGGCCTCATGGGAGCAGGTGGGCATTCTTTCTGCTGTGCTGACTTATCTATGTGATTTAATTAATGCACTGAAAATTTGCAAAATAAGTTTAAGTGGTGTGTAGACACTTGACATAATGTTGTCATTTAGTTTGTCAGAGCTACACAGTAGCTATTGATGTAGTAACTTAAGTTTATTTTTTCTAGGTTCGCAACAGTACCACAATACTCACAAAAGAGTACATTGATGCATTACCAAATGGCTGGGAGGAGTATGCATGGCGCAGGATCAACAAAGGAATCCTTCTGTGGGTAGACACAAATTTTACAGTTTCACATAGACTTGCATTATGGTTAAATTCTGGAGATTGTTGATTATGTTTAGTTTTGGGTTTACAGGAATAAGTGCAAGAACAGAACTCTTTGCATGGAGAAGCTTTCATTGGTTCTCCCTGAGACATCACCATATGTACCTCAGCAGTTTGGTAGCTGTGCCGTTGTTGGAAACTCTGGGGATCTTCTTAAAACTAAATTTGGGGATGAGATTGATTCTTATGATGTTGTCATCAGAGAAAATGGTGCACCTGTCCAGGTTTTCCTAAGATACCTATATTTCCTGCTCTTGTTTCTTAACCTGGACGTGCTCTAACTTCTTGCTGCATTGCAGAACTACACGGAATATGTTGGTGAAAAGAGTACATTTCGCCTTCTTAACAGAGGATCTGCAAAGGCACTGGATAAAGTTGTTGAGTTAGATGGTAAGTCTTCCAGCCACCTATTTCCCATCACTATCAGTAGGATTTTTATTCTGGGAAGAAAAGGCATGCTAATTCTTATGGTTGCAGAAACAAAAAAGGAGGCATTGATAGTTAAGACAACAATACATGATGTCATGAACAAGATGATTCGGGTAATTTAGCTACACCATATTTAAAAACTAGGGTGCTTTGGGTACATGTTCCTTATTTTCTTACCTGCCTGACAGAACTCTTGTTATGTAGGAACTTCCAATAACCAACCCAGTATACCTCATGCTAGGCACATCATTTGGTTCCTCTGCTAAAGGAACTGGGCTTAAAGCTCTTGAATTTGCTCTCTCCATCTGTGACAGCGTTGACATGTATGGCTTTACAGTAGACCCGGGCTACAAGGAATGGTAGGTGATTTACATGTTACCTGTCATTGTAAGCATGCACTTGTACTTACATTTCATGGTACACTGTTTCAGGACGAGATACTTTTCAGAGTCCAGAAAGGGACACACTCCACTACATGGCAGAGCATATTATCAAATGATGGAATGTCTTGGTGTGAGTGTCTCTCTTCCTCTAATCCTAACTGATAAAACCATGTCTACAACCATTGAGCAGTACAAGTTTTTTTTCTTTGTTACTGCACGAAGGGATCGTTTACTGATGTAGAAAATCATGTGCAGCTTGTAAAAATCCATTCGCCAATGCGGGGTGATCCTGGTAGGGTAGTCAAGTGGCTGCCTACCAAGGACATCATTGAAGCTGCTAGAGTTGCTTCAGAGAAGTTGTTGAAGTGAGTTTTTGGATATTCCTTTCTGTATTGACTTGCTTTCACTTTCCTCCAATCTTCTAAATAAGCCACAAGAGCCTTACTTAGGGCATTGACGTTGTATTACATGTGATAGGTTTTGGTGCTGCAATTTAACTCCGTCTCTCATTATGATGTAAGTTGTATGACTAAAAAAATTCATTGCCGTGATTTGTGTTGTAGGAGACCTGGTGCTGGAAGCGTTGACCCTCTGAGGACTTGCACCATGATAAAGAAGCGCAAGAACGGAAAGGCGCCAAACAGATTCGGCCTCCGAGATGCTGCCATGAATCACCTTCGGTACATGAAGGGTGCCACCAGGTATCCCCTGGAACGGAGCGCCGGGGGTGGTTACCTCTGCATGATCAATGATAGATAGCGCTAACAGCTTCGCAAATTCCCATTAGAAGACACCCGAGATGATGGTGAAACACCACAGAACTCATGGTGCCTCGAAGAGAAAGGGCCGTGAATCACTTACACTGGCACACAGTTTTATGCGGCGTCGATCGGTGTGCATGCAGCATTGAATATTTGAAGTAGGATCATTTTCCGCACACTTTACTAGACGATTTGGGGCATGAGTTCTCAAGGGTTTGTGACTTAGGCCAGGTTTTCGGATGGTGCTCGCCTGTGTAACAGAATGAACATATAATTTGCCCCCTGTAACTAGAAGACATTTTTTTTCTGGCATGAACTGTTCCATTGGAATTATTACACCCAGAAGCTTGTAAACTGCTTGGAAGTAATTACCTGCTGCCATGTCAATGAACTCGATCTGAATTCTCGCGCGCATAGCTGTACAGCTAAAGAGCTAATCCTTCACTGTTATATAAACATCATTGGTTCAGAACTGCATTCAGTTTCCTTTCTATATCAGAACAGGCAGCTCCATGGAGTCTCTAGGAAAACAGAGATGGGTAGCACTCCCTTTGTCTATAACTTTTTGGGGTCCAAGGTGAGTGATGTTATCTTCAGAAATGAACACCATGACAAAACTGGCAACAGGACACTCCACCTGGACAACATCCAGACAAATAGTGAAATTTGATGCCGGAAATTACATTACGGGTTATCCGGGTTAAATGCCTATTTTGCCCTTGTAACTGCAGTGCTGTATAATCTATATCTATTTCTATATCTACACCAATATAAAAAGACCCAAATAGGCAGATCCAAACCATCTCGACCGTCAAATCATGTTATCTAGTGGTTCAAATCGCTTCAATGTTGAGCACCAAACACATTTTAGGCCTCTTTTGGTTCATAGGATAGGATTATCATAGGAATAGGAATCTTGTAGGAAATTAGATGACATGTATCTCAAATCCTATGAGTAGTAATAGGAAACAAGATGTCATTTGGTTGACACCAAAGGAATTTTTTCATTGAGTCTAGGCCCTTTTTTATTTTCCTATAAAATGTGGAGGATAAGAACCAATCCTATGTAGGAATAGGAATCCATTCCTATGAACCAAAGGGCTCTAAAGGGAAAAATCCTATAAGAATCCTATCCTCTAGAATTCCTATGAAATTCCTCTAAACCAAAGGAGGCCTTAACGATCTAATTACCCACCACTGCCATTGGTTATAAACACGTTTTGACTCAACACTATTCCTTGAAATCTCCCATGTAATTAATATCCTACCACTCCCGTGAAAAAGTAATTGATATCTTACCAAATACCAACGTGCAACAGATATATCTTACCTTTTTTTAGGGAACAGATATATCTTACCTAATATAACGTGCAACTAATATCCTACCTAATATAAAAGTGCATTGCACGTACATTATTACTAATACTAGTAGAATGTCCGTGCGTTGCTACGGGCTATAGTGCATATATAAATAAGTTAAATAAATAATTAGGACTGCCTTCAAGGCCAAAGCTCATTTTTTCCTCATATGATTGGGCGTGTTCCGACATTAGACGAGTGCCCAATAGGCTCCTAGAATTCAGCCATCTGGATAGTCCGGACTTCCCAAATCCATATCATATATGGGGGAGAAATATGAATGTCTGGACTATTCTCCAAGTTATGTCCGACATGCAGACCCAACACCAAAACCCCCACTCCACATCACACCCTTCTCTTTTTTCCTACCGGACCCTCCATTTCCTACTCGATTTTTCGTCATACCGGGACATTTCTCACTTGAGCCCTCACCTTTAGAACCAGATGATGTTGATCTCACCTTCGTCGTGCGTTGCAACATGTATGAAACCTTTTATACTTAAAATATAATAGAGCGGGTATAGCTAACATATACTATTAACACAAAACAACAAATAACTATACAGATAATTCTCAAAGGTCCATTCAACTTTGCAAATTAAGACTGACTTGTAAAGCGAGTGGCAACCTGAACATATTCCCTGTCTCCAATAAGCTCCACCTCTAGCCCACACAACATTCATTGCTAGAAGTACTTATCGTTTTCTCTTCCTCGTCCTTCCCTACATCTTTTATTCCTAGCCACTTCGTCAATCTTCGTTGGCGCCAACCAGCACCACGTCAACATCAGTGTGTTCGTCAATGACATCTCATCTTCTTCTTCCTCCTTCCACCCTAGTTTTAGTTCGCGATCCTACTTTTTTTTATAGAATATTCTTCCTTTCTTTTTTCGCTTTATTTTCTGGAACATTCTTTTCTTCTCCAACACAATGGATCATTTGGCCGCTTTAATTCTTTTTTCCTTCTTATTCTTGGTGAAGGAAATATGCCCTAGAGGCAATAATAAAGTTATTATTTATTTCATTATATCATGATAAATGTTTATTATTCATGCTAGAATTGTATTAACCGGAAACATAATACATGTGTGAGTACATAGACAAGCAGAGTGTCACTAGTATGCCTCTACTTGACTAGCTCGTTGATCAAAGATGGTTATGTTTCCTAACCATAGACATGAGTTGTCATTTGATTAACGGGATCACATCATTAGGAGAATGATGTGATTGACTTGACCCATTCCGTTAGCATAGCACTTGATCGTTTAGTTTGTTGCTATTGCTTTCTTCATGACTTATACATGTTCCTATGACTATGAGATTATGCAACTCCCGTTTACCGGAGGAACACTTTGTGTGCTACCAAACGTCACAACGTAACTGGGTGATTATAAAGGTGCTCTACAGGTGTCTCCGAAGGTACTTGTTGGGTTGGCGTATTTCGAGATTAGAATTTGTCACTCCGATTGTCGGAGAGGTATCTCTGGGCCCACTCGGTAATGCACATCACTATAAGCCTTGCAAGCATTGCAACTAATGAGTTAGTTGCGGGATGATGTGTTACGGAACGAGTAAAGAGACTTGCCGGTAATGAGATTGAACTAGGTATTGAGATACCGACGATCGAATCTCGGGCAAGTAACATACCGATGACAAAGGGAACAACGTATGTTGTTATGCGATCTGACTGATAAAGATCTTCGTAGAATATGTGGGAGCCAATATGAGCATCCAGGTTCCGCTATTGGTTATTGACCGGAGACGTTGTCTCGGTCATGTCTACATTGTTCTCGAACCCATAGGGTCCGCACGCTTAAGGTTTCGATGACAGTTATATTATGAGTTTATGAGTTTTGATGTACCGAAGGAGTTCGGAGTCCCGGATGAGATCGGGGACATGACGAGGAGTCTCGAAATGGTCAAGACGTAAAGATCGATATATTGGACGACTATATTCGGACATCGGAAAGGTTCCGAGTGATTCGGGTATTTTTCAGAGTACCGGAGAGTTACGGGAATTCGCCGGGGAGTATATGGGCCTTATTGGGCTTTAGGGGAAAAAGAGAGGAGAGGTTGGGCGCCCCCCAAGGCCTAGTCCGATTTGGACTAGGGGGGGGGGGGGCTGCGCCCCCTCCTTCCTTCTCTTCTCTCTTCCCTTGCCTTGACTCCTACTCCTACTACTTGGAAAGGGGGGAATCCTACTCCTGGTGGGAGTAGGACTCCTCCAGGGCGCGCCATAGGGGCTGACCCTCTCTCCCCTCCTCCACTCCTTTATATACGTGGCCAGGGGGCATCCCATAGACACAACAATTGATCCTTGAGATCTATTAGCCGTGTGCGGTGCCCTCCTCCACCATAATCCTCGATAATATTGTAGCGGTGCTTAGGTGAAGCCCTGCGACGGTAGAACATCAAGATCGTCACCATGCCGTCGTGCTGACGGAACTCTTCTCCGACATTCTGTTAGATCGGAGTCCGGGGATCGTCATCGAGCTGAACATGTGCTAGAACTCGGAGGTGCCGTAGTTTCGGTGCTTGACCGGTCGAGCCGTGAAGACGTACGACTACATCAACCGCGTTGTGCTAACGCTTCCGCTTTCGGTCTACGAGGGTACATAGACAACACTCTCCCATCTTGTTGCTATGCATCACTATGATCTTGCGTGTGCGTAGGAATTTTTTTGAAATTACTACGTTCCCCAACAGTGGCATCCGAGCCTAGGTTTTATGCGTTGATGTTGTGCACGAGTAGAACACAAGTGAGTTGTGGGCGATATAAGTCATACTGCTTACCAGCATGTCATACTTTGGTTCGGCGGTATTGTTGGATGAAGCGGCCCGGACCGACATTACGCGTACGCTTACGCGAGACTGGTTTTACCACCGTGCTATGCACACAGGTGACTAGCGGGTGTCAGTTTCTCCAACTTTAGTTGAACCGAGTGTGGCTACGCCCGGTCCTTGAGAAGGTTAAAACAACACTAACTTGACAAACTATCGTTGTGGTTTTAATGCGTAGGTAAGAACGGTTCTTGCTAAGCCCGTAGCAGCCATGTAAAACTTGCAACAACAAAGTAGAGGACGTCTAACTTGTTTTTGCAGGGCATGTTGTGATGTGATATGGTCAAGACGTGATGAGATATAAGTTATTGTATAAATATGATCATGTTTTGTTGAAGTTATCGGCAACTGACAGAAGCCTTATTGAAAGAACATGCGGTGCCCCCATGTTTGGTTTTGGTAATTGATGACAATCTCTATGGACTAATGGTTGCCTTGAGTTATATTTGAAGGTTTTGTCCATAGGCTTTTCTTGGAGTACATGTGTTGGTTTCAAGGAGAGTTTGTGTCGACCAAGGTGCTATTCAAGGAATTACCTAAAGATTGGTCTTGTGAGAGGTTGATCAAGACTAAGTTAAAGAGTGAATCAAGATGATCAACCCACAAAGCGTAGAAGATGTACCGAGAGGGATTAAGTGATCCCATGGTATGGCAAGCATTGTCAATTACGCTTTGTGTACTAACCCATGGTCTTCGTGAGGGTTCTTTGTGGGGTTAGGTTGCGGTGTGCAAGTTCAAGTGGAGCACCACGAAGAGATCAAATGCTTGAAGCTTGTTGTCCTTTGTGGTGACAATGGACCTGTGAAGATGTGCGGAAGAGTAGCTCACCCATAGTAGAGTATGGGGGAGCAATCAACTAGTCTTCATCGACTCAACACAATCAAGAAAGGTTGCGGTGCAAGTTCAAGTGGAGCATCACGAAGAGATCAAATGCTTGAAGCTTTCCGTCCATTGTGGTGACAATGGACTTGTGAAGATGTGCGGAAGAAAGGCTCACCCATAGTGGAGTATGTGGGAGCAATCAACTAGTCTTCATCGAGCCAATACAATCAAGAAAGGTGGTCCAACTTGAGGGAGTCTAGATCGTCATCATCTAGCTCAAGTGGACCATGTGCAAGGCAAAGGTTTGCCCTTGATAGGTTTTCTATTTTACCGGTCTCATGATGGTAGTTGGGAGACCGGGTTATATGATCGATTGCCATACTATCAAGGGGGGCTCTCAATGAGTAGCTTGATCGTATCGTTCGTTGAGAGCTCAAACCATTGCATCCTTGCATCATCTTTCTTGGTTCTTGTTTGGTTCTCTTTGTGAGTCTTAGAGCTTACGGTCATCTTGTTGACAAGCTTAAGTTCATCAAAAACGGAGTTCGCTTGCATCTTCTATGATGTTTTCGATGTTGGAGGTTTTGCCGGTTCTTCTCGGTTGGAGGTTTCACTCCTCTTTTTGTTAGGCATACCTCCCCTGCCTCTT